CAAGTAAGAGAATTTTGCTTCCAGTGACTGATACTATTTTTCTCCTTGGGAACTAAACATTTGAGAGACACCAGTTCCAGTTAAAGGAAAAGACTGATCAGATCTGTTATTCAGATTGACATCTGACTTTGAAAGACTAATTTGCATACCAGTTGCATACTGCAGTTACCCGTTGGTTATCACTAACTGTGGTCATTTAATTTGATTGATTGTGAAGGTGATTTATTGTGTAATGTATAGTTAATTAGCGGGTGCACCCAAGGGTACGGTTATTGTGTTTTCTGTGTTTTATTGTTGTTTTATGTTTTGAAAAAAGTACTTACTGAAGAAAAAAAGAAACAAACCCTAAACTATTTACAGTAAAATTTAAATTGTGGTTAACCTACCGATTGCCTCTGATATTTACTCAGCACCACCGCCGCCTCCCATCACGTGCCTTGTTCTTCTGAGGTTAATCGCCTGGTCCATCAGAGAGAGAACTACCCTGTTACAGAGGTGTTACATTGCGGCGAGCCAGCCAGGAGGTGGCGCTGTTGTTGAGTATTAATAGTCACAATTAAAAAAAAAAAAACTATGGATATAATTGAGGCAGAGGGCATTAAAGTTCTGAATTCTGTGATAGTTAGTGGCTTGACTAACACAGAGTGTGATGAGGAATTAATTGACATCCTGAAAAAGTATGGTTCTTTTGCCAGAACGCTTTTCATCAGTGACAAAAAGTCAGAGTTTTACCAGAGCACTATAATTGAATATAACAGTGGTCAAGCCTTGCAATCTCTAGAACCACAGCTGCCTTATACTCACCAACTATCCAGTGATCCAGGCATCAATTACCAAGTGAAGGCATTGTCTAGCGTCTTTACGCAGCAATTGGGCAGTAGTGTCACTAAATCCTACCTAGAAGGATTGAAAGAAATTGCAAAATTGAGTGGAACCAATTTCGAAGCAGTTTTGAGCCAGATGCTATCTCAAATGAGTGCCGAACTCACATCAGTGTCCTCTGATCTTGAGGCTGGAGATGACGATCCAGATGAGCAGCCACCCCAAGCGCTTCCTGGCGAGAATGTTGGCGCAGCAGCTGTTAAGCCAAGTCAGGTAGATGAATCGCTGTCACAGCACACACCTGTCAAATCAAATGTTCCACCTCTCTATACTTCTCAGCAGGTGTTCAATCACCCTGAAGTCCAGAAACTCATCGTTGAACATGTTGTGAGGAGTGGTGAAGTGGCTGCTCAAGGGCCTGTACAATCACGGCTCAGGGTTTTCTCCGGTAAATGTCCTAGACCTGGAAATGAAGTTGATTATGATACTTGGCGCTCCAGTGTTGAGCTTATCTTGAAGGACCCTGGCTTATCTGATTTGCATGTGTCCAGGAAGATAGTGGACAGCCTTTTGCCACCCGCAGTAGATGTTATAAAGCATCTAAGCCCTGAAGCTCAATCCTCAGCTTACCTTCAGTTGCTGGATTCGGCTTTTGGTGTTGTAGAGGACGGCGATGAACTCCTCGCAAGATTTATGAATACTCTGCAAGACGCTGGTGAGAAACCATCCGCTTACCTTTATAGATTGCAGACAGCTTTGAGGATGACTATCAAAAGAGGTGGCATTTCTCCAGAAGAGGCAGACCAACATCTTCTCAAGCAGTTTTGTAGGGGCTGCTGGGATAATGATTTGATTACTGAACTGCAGCTCGAACAAAAGCGCAACCGTCCTCCTTCCTTTGCACAGCTTCTGTTAATGTTACGTACAGAAGAAGACAAACATACAGCGAAAGTCAATCGTATGAAGCAACATCTTGGGTCTTCTAAGCAGAGAGCTCTGATGCATTCTCAAAGAACGTGGGTCTCTGCTGAATTGGAGCAAAAAGAAGCTTCAAACATGGCTTCACTTGCAACTGAAACGCAGGAGCTCAAGAAACAGATAGCTAAGCTCCAAAGTCAACTAGCCAATCTTACGACCAAACCTAAGATCCAGAAGAAATCCCCACTGCCAGAAGCAGTACACAAACAGGACAAGAAGAAGTCGGGAACGGCTGGTACTGAGAGTGTGACTCCAGTTAATAAAAAATCAACAGGAAGACCAAGACCATGGTACTGTTTTACCTGTGGTGAGGACGGCCACGTTGCATTTTCCTGCACTTCTGAGCCTAACCCTGCACTTGTGACCACAAAGCGAAAACTCCTAAGGGAAAAGCAGCTTCTGTGGGACTCTCAGAACCCCAGCCTCAACCCTGATTTAAACTAAAGTCAGCCCTTGTTGTGGGACAGACGAGGGCTGAGTCAGAATCAAACTGTCCCACTGCAAAACAAGTCTCAAACAAATGTACATCTTCTAGAAAGTCAAGCTCTAGTCTGCCAAAGGGCTTAGTTGGTGCAAGATGCATTGCAGAAATCAGCATAGCAGGTGAAAAATGTCATTGTTTATTGGACACTGGGTCACAAGTTACAACAGTACCCAAGTCCTTTTATGAGCAGCATCTCTCAGGGTACCCTATTAACTCCATCAATGACATCTTGGAAGTAGAAGGAGCCAATGGTCTTTCAGTTCCATACGATGGGTACATAAAAGTAGACATTACGTTTCCTGAGGAGTTCCTGGGAGTGAGTGTTCAGGTGCCTACCATAGCTTTAGTAGTCCCTGATGTGAAACCCCACAATCAGTCTATGGTTTTAATAGGCACAAACACATTGGATGTTCTTTATGAGCAGAATTTGAAATCAAATTCCCCAACTTACCAACCATCTTCGTTCGGTTACAGAGTGGTTCTGAGCACACTGGAGACAAGGCGGAAACAAAACACGAGTGGTGTTCTTGGCTATGTACGATTGAATGGCAAAGTACCTGAGGTCATGGCTGCAGGACAGACTGTAGTTGTGGAAGGTTCCGTCACAGTGCCCTCTGGGGTTGACAAGTGTGTGGTGGTGGAGCATCCATCTAACTCATCTTTGCCTGGTGGATTGTTTGTTAAACGATGCCTACTTACTCTTCCAAAAGCACCACCTTACCATTTACCAGTAGTGCTTCCAAATGAAACTGAACATGATATAGCTATCCCACCAAGGTGTACAGTAGCGGAGCTCCATGTGGTCGAGTCTTTGCTCACTCCACCAAACTCACTTTCAGATGATGAGCCTTTACCTGTGAAGGAACTTGATTTCACCCTAAATTTTGGTGAGTCCCCATTACCACAAAAGTGGAAGGACCGTATCACTAAACAACTCAGAGAAATGCCAGAGGTTTTCAGCCAGCACGACTTAGACTTTGGTCACACTAAAAAGGTGAAACATCACATACAGTTGAATAATGAAACTCCTTTTAAGCACAGAGCATGGCCAATCCACCCACAAGATGTTGAGGCCGTCCGCAAGCATCTGCGTGATCTCCTTGCCAGTGGAGTCATTCGAGAGTCCCAGTCACCCTTCTCTTCACCAATAGTGGTGGTGAGAAAGAAGAATGGAGATGTGCGGCTGTGTATAGATTATAGAAAGTTAAACCTTCAGACTGTGAAAGATGCGTATGCACTGCCCAATCTGGAGGAGACTTTCTCAGCTCTGACGGGATCCCGATGGTTTTCTGTGCTTGATTTGAAGTCAGGATACTATCAGATAGGAGTTGAGGAGTCGGATAAACCCAAAACTGCCTTTGTCTGCCCATTGGGGTTTTGGGAATTCAATCGTATGCCCCAAGGTGTGACCAATGCACCTAGTACTTTTCAAAGATTGATGGAGAAGTGTATGGGGGACATTAATCTGAGGGAAGTACTGGTCTTTTTGGATGACCTGATAATATTCTCGGACACTCTAGAGGAGCATGAGAGACGTCTGTTAAATGTTCTATCTCACCTCAAAGAGTACGGACTGAAACTGTCTCTGGAGAAATGTAAATTTTGTCAAACCTCCGTTCGCTATCTAGGTCATATTGTCTCAGAGCGTGGAGTGGAGACTGACCCCGAAAAGATACAAGCCTTAAAAACCTGGCCGAGTCCTAAGAACCTTAAAGAACTGAGGTCATTTTTGGGTTTCTCCGGCTACTATCGCCGGTTTATTAAAGATTATTCAAGGATCGTGAAGCCGCTCAATGATCTTACCTCAGGTTATCCACCATTAAGGAAAGGTGGTAAAAAGACTGACAAAAAGGGTCCATACTACTATCCTAAGGACCCCTTTGGGGACCGTTGGACTCCTCTTTGTGAAGCAGCTTTTCAGTCCATTATCGAAAAGTTAACTACTGCACCCGTCCTGGGTTTTGCAGACCCCAGACTCCCCTATTTCCTCCATACGGATGCCACTAAAGGTTTGGGGGCTGCACTGTATCAGGAGCAAGGTGGGCAAATGCGTGCCATTGCATTTGCGAGTAGGGGGCTGTCACACAGTGAGTCTAGATATCCCGCTCACAAACTTGAATTTCTTGCCCTTAAATGGGCGGTAACTGAAAAGTTGAGTGATTATCTTTATGGCAGTCAATTCACTGTCATCACTGATAGCAACCCTCTTACTCATGTTCTTACCACTGCAAGATTGGATGCTACTAGTTATCGTTGGCTCGCAGCCCTTTCCACTTTTTCATTCAAGTTGCAGTATAGGGCGGGTAAGCTGAATATTGATGCTGATAACCTTTCAAGGCGACCTCAAGAGCCGTTTCCAGAGAACCCCATGTCCCAAAAAGAATGTGAAAGGATTGAACAGTTCATACAGCATAATTTTACCAAAGCAGAGGATTCTGCCAGTGCTACGGATGATGTAGTCCAGGCTATCTGCGAGGAGCACCTCATTAGGCAGTCAGCTGATGCTGCACCGGGCGTTGCTCTTGTAAGCTCCCTTGCACTCCATTCCAATGCTGTTCCCAACTGTTATGAACAAGAAGATAGCTCTGAATTGTTACCTATTACACCTCACCTTTCAAAAGACCTTGGTGACAAATAAAGAGCCGATCCAGTGCTTCGAGAGGTGATGTCACACTTGGAGTTGGGAGAAAAACCCCCACCAACAGTAAGGAAGGAACTTCCTGGTCTTCCGTGCTTTTTGAAGGAGTGGAACCGCCTTGAGTTAAAGGACGGAATACTTTACAGGAGACGGAAAGATAAGGATTCCATCACTTACCAGCTAGTGCTCCCGGAAGAACTACGATCCTCTGTGATGAGCAGTTTACATGATAGTATGGGTCACATGGGGATGGAGAGGACCTTGGATCTGGTCAGAGCCCGATTCTATTGGCCAAAGGTGGCTGCCGACGTGGAACAGAAGATCAGGACGTGTGGTCGTTGTGTGCGAAGGAAGACCCCACCTCAAAAAGCAGCACCCTTGGTCAACATCCAGGCCACCAGACCATTACAATTAGTCTGTAGGGACTTTCTCTCCTTGGAACCAGACAGAAGTAACACAAGAGACATATTAGTGATCACAGATTTAAGTATGCTGTGGCAGTCCCTACACCCAATCAAAAGGCAAGAACAGTAGCAAAGTGTCTTTGGGAGAACTTCATTGTGCATTATGGGTTTCCTGAATGCCTTCATAGTGACCAGGGCCCCGACTTCGAGTCACGCACAATTAAAGAACTTTGTGAAACATCAGGCATTCAGAAAATCCGAACAACGCCTTACCATCCAAGGGGGAATCCTGTGGAACGTTTCAATAGGACCCTGCTGGACATGCTTGGCACATTAGAAGAGAAAGATAAAAGTCGGTGGAGAGATTTTGTCAAGACATTAGTTCATGCATATAACTGCACGAAGCATGAAGTCACAGGATTCACCCCCTATGAATTAATGTTCGGGCGCCAGCCTCGGCTGCCTGTTGACCTTGCTTTTGGGTTGCCATATCAGGACACTCCGCAGATATCCCATTCCGAATATGTCAGACATCTAAAGTCTCATCTGGAAGAAAGCTATTCGGTTGCCTCCCATAGAGCATTAAAGAGTGCCGAGAGGAACAAAATCAGGTTTGACAAGCTTGTGACAAATTCCTCATTGGAAGTCAATGATCGCGTATTGGTGAGAAATGTTCGGTTGCGTGGTAAGCACAAGTTAGCAGACAAGTGGGAGTTTGAGGTGTATGTAGTAGTAAAGCGAGCTGGCGACTTGCCTGTCTACACAGTTCGTCCTGAAACAAGGGATGGTCCTCTTCGTACACTTCACAGGGACCTTTTGCTTCCTTGTGGATTCTTACCAGCATCAGAAGGTTCAAGTCCTACCTTGACCAAACCTACTTCTACGCCTAGAACACGGAGGAGTCCTGGTATTGAACCATCTGATGATGACAACTCTTTCTCTGATCCAGAGGATGAATATCCTAATGGTCAGTATGATGCCCTTCCAGTCATCGAAACAGTACGATTCTCTACAGTTCATGACATCTGTAGATCGAAGGGAGCTTCGGATGTTTCTTTGAAAACAGACTCAACTAATCCAAAACATTCAGACAGTGATACTGCGCAAGCAAATCCAGTTGACGACACACCTGCCGATGCTCCAGATACATACTTACCTGTTGATGTTCCAGTTGACGACTCGCCTGCCGATGCTCCAGATACATACTTACCTGTTGACGTTCCAGTTGACGACTCATCTGTTGATGCTCCAGGAGTCCTCGAAACCAGTAAAATACCCAACAAAAACCCCACTGAATCAGAAAATAATTTAACTATTCGAAGGGAAGACGAGGTGACAAACGTAGCTGAAATGCCGAATGCTCCTGTCAAAGAGAGTGAGCAACAGCCAGAAATTGAGGGAGAACAGAATTTGAGTATTCCGCTCAGACGTTCTAGCAGACCGAGAGAGGAACCTGAGAGACTTACCTACTTCCAACTCGGAAACCCCCTGTCTTTTGTGGTACAGTCTTTGTTCCACGGGTTAAGCACTGCTCTTGTTGAATCCCTCAATGGTGTTGAAAATTCAAGTGCCCTTTCCATTGTGCCCAACGTTTCACCAAATGTAGTGACTAATCAGCCACTCAGAGCATGCAAAGGGACTTGCATGATTTCAGGGGGGGAAAGTGTAACCCCTCTTAAATGATTGCTGTGATGAATATTATTATATACATCATTGTTTGAATTCAATATAATGAAAATTTATATGAATGAAAATCTTCATAGATTGATAAAAAATATTTATATTTGTGTTTTTGGATTGAACTAAGAAATGAGAAGCAACGAATTGGAGGGTTAGGATGTTGGCTCCGCCCACTTGCCTGTGTTTAGCGTGTGCAGGCTAGTAGACTGATACAGAGCGACAGAGAAACCTGATCTGACGAGAGAGTGTAAAAATAGAAAAATACGATCTTTAATTCATTCATGCTTCATATTAACTGATCAAAACAGCCCGTAAACACAAGATATTAGATGATTCAGCGTGGTTGTGTTACTCCTGCACCACAAAACTTGCATGTGGAATTGTTTGATTGGGTCAGGCCGCATGTTCTGTGCGTGTCTCTGCAGTTTGCTGACGCCATTTTGATTTTTCGTGTACCTGTGAAAAACAAACAGACGAAAATGGACAGGCCAGGTTTTTTTTTTCCCTTGTGAGGATGAACTTTCATGTGGATTTCCATAATTGATGGCGAGCCTCCCACCTTGACTGAAAGGATCACGGACCTGGAATAAAGGACAGTTTTTCATT